TCCCAGCTACTTGAGAGGCTGAGGCAGGAGAATCGTTTGAACGAGGGAGGCAGAAGTTGCAGTGAGCCAAGATAGCACCACTGCACTTCATCCTGGGAGACAGAGCAAGACTGTCTAAAATTAAAACAAAAAACCTTCATTCACTGCAGACGTGGCAACCCATTTTCTCCCGGACTCCTGACTGCACAGAGAGCTCTTCTCTTTCTTTTGCCCATTACACTTCTGCTCTTAATTTCACTCTGGAGTGTCTGTATTTAGTTTTCTGTGGCCTTGGGACAATGAACTTGAGGTTTCACCCCATACAACAACACTGCTTCACAAATACAACTTCAAAACCCATTTTTGGCTGGACACGGTGGCTCATGCCTGTAATCTCAGCACTTTGGGAGGCAAAAGGGGGCAGATCACCTGAGTCACGAGTTTGACACCAGCCTGACCAACATGGAGAAACTCTGCCTCTACTGAAAATACAGAATTAGCTGGGCATTGTGAGGTGCTGGTTTTCAAAGGCAGGGATAAATTCAGGAAAGCAGAAGCTACAGGTAAAATCGTGAAGCTGGCCAGACATGGTGGCTCATGCCTGTAATCCCAGCACTTTGGGAGGCCCAGGTGGGAGGATCCCTTGGGGCCAGGAGTTCCAGACCAGGCTGGGCAACAAAGCAAGACCCCCGTCTCTACAAAAAACTACAAACATTGGCCGGGCATGGTGGTGCTTACCTGTAGTCCCAGTTGCTTGGGAGGCTGAGGTGGGAGGATTGCTAGAGCCCAGGAATTGGAGGCTGCAGTGAACTATGATCGTGCTAAAAAGAAGGATATCAGAAAAATGTTGGATGGCTGGTTGGGTGCAATGGCTCTCGCCTGTAATCCCAGCACTTTGGGAGGCCAAGGTGGGAGGAGCACCTGAGGTCAGGAGTTTGAGTCAAGCCTGGCCAATATGGTCAAACCTCGTCTCTACTGAAAATACAAAAATTATCTAGCGTGGTGGTGTGTGCCTATACTCCCTAGCTACTCAGGAGGCTGAGTCAGGAGAATTGCCTGAATCTGGGAAATGGACATAGCAGTGAGCTGAGATGGTATCACTGCTCTCCAGCCTGGGCAATAGAGCAAGGCTCCGTCTCAAAAAAAAAAAAAAAGGAAAGAAAATGTTGGATAGCATCTACATCTTTGAAAAAGGAACAGATCAGCAGGCTGATGAATAAGATCTAAAAGTCTATGAATAAGACCTACAGAAATAAGAAGATAGATGCCAAATGATTCGAGACTTCTTCATAATATTTTTTAAACGCAATAAAATACGTCTTGTGTTGACCAAAAGGTACAATGTTAGAGTTAGATGGGAGGAGCGGGTTTTTGAGATCTATTGCCTAGCAAGAGTATTATTCATTAGGAACCATAGTTACTAATAATGTATATTTCAAAATTACTTAAAAAGTAGATTTTGGTTGGGCCCAGTGCCTCACACCTGTAATCTCAACTGTTTGAGAGGCTGAGGAGGGCAGATCACTTGAGGCTAGGAGTTTGAGACTGGCCTGGCCAACATGGCAAAACCCCTGTCTCTGTAAAATTACAAAAGTGGCTGGGTATGGTGTCTCACGCCTGTAATCCCAGGACTTTGGGAGTCCAAGGTGGGTGGATCACGAAGTCAGGAGTTTGAGACCAGCCTGGCCAGCTTGGTGAAACCCATCTCTACTAAAAATACAAAAAAAAAAAAAAAAAATTAGCTGAGCATAGTGGTGCGTTCCTGTAATCCCAGCTACTCAGGAGGCTGAGGCAGAAGAATCACCTGAACCCAGGAGGTGAAGGCTGCAGTGAGCAGAGGTCTCACCATTGCACCCCAGCTTGGATGACAGAGTGAGAATCCTTCTCAATTAAAAAAAAAAAATAGCCAGGTATGGTGGTGGTTGCCTGTAGTCCCATCTACTCGGGAGGCTCTCTTGAGCCTGGGAGTTGAGGCTGCTGTGAGCTGTGATTGTGCCACTGCACTCCAACCTGGGCAACAAAGCAAGACTGTCTAAAGAAGTACATTTGGGGCCAGGCACAGTGGCTTAGTGGCTTACGCTGTAATCTTAGCACTTTGGGAGGCCGAGGCTGGTGGATCACCAGGTCAGGAGATCAAGACCATTGTGGCTAACATGGTGAAACCCCATCTCTACTAAAAATACAAAAGATTAGTTGGGCGTGGTGGCACATGCCTGTATTCCCAGCTACTCGGGAGGCTGAGGCAGGTGAATCAGTTGAACCTGGGAAGCAGAGGTTGCAGTGAGCTGAGACTCTGCCATTGCATTCCAGCCTGGGCGAGAAAGCCACACTCAATCTCAAAAAAAAAAAAGGTACATTTTATTTTATTTTATATTTTGTATTTTTTTGAGACAGAGTTGCCCTCTGTTGCTGAGGCTGCAATGCAATGGCACAATCTCGGCTCACTGCAACCTCTGCCTCCATGGTTCAAGTGATTTTCCTGCCTCAGCCTCCTGAGTAGCTAGGATTATAGGTGTGCGCCACCTTGCCCAGCTGATTTTTGTATTTTTAGAAGTGGGGTTTCATTATGTTGGCCCAGCTGGTCTTGAACTCAGCCTCAGGTGATTCGCCAGCATCAGCCTCCTAAACTATTGTCATTACAGGCTTAAGCCACTGTGACTGGCAAAAAGTAGACTTTAAATGTTCTCACGACAGAAAAATGGTACATTTGTGAGATGGTGGATATGTTAATTACCCTCATATAATCATTCCACAATATATACGTAGATCAAAATGTCACACTAAGCCCCACAAACATACACAATTATTATATCTGTTAAAATAATTAAGTTTATCTCTTCAAAAACATTAATAAGAAGTCCCAGCTGGGCTTGGTGGCTCACGCCTGTTATTCCAACACTTTGGGAGACTGAGGTGAGCAGATCACAAGGTCAGGAGTTCAAGACCATGCTAACCAACATGGTGAAACCTCGTCTCTACTAAAAATACAAAAAAAGTTAGCCAGGCATGGTCGTATGCACCTGTAGATCCCAGCTACTCAGGAGACTGAGGCAGGAGAATTCCCTGAACCCAGGAGGCAGAGGTTGCAGTGAGCCAAGATCACGCCACTGTACTCCAGCTTGGACATCAGAGTGAGACTCCATCCAAAGAAATATAAAAAAAAATCTCAAACTTGTAATTTTACCTCTTGGAGCCTCAACTTCTCAAATTTGAGATGAGGTTTTACCATGTGGGTCAGGCCAGTCTTGAAGTCATGACCTCGGTGATCCACCCGCCTTGGCCTCCCAAAATGCTGGGACGTCAGGACTGAGCCATTGCTGCTGGCTATCCATCACTTAGGCCTTTGCCTAGCTCAGGGACTCTGCATTTTTCCAGCAGAGGAAGCAATCAGATATACACTTGTCTCAGATGAGCAGAAGGATGACTTAGAGTTCAGTAAGTTCTCGGTGCCCACAAGGAATTTCCTAGCAGGCAAATTGGGTGAGAGACACATAGCTCTTTTTTGTTTTGTTTTGTTTTGTTTTGAGTTGGAGTCCCACTCTGTTGATTAGGCTGGAGTGCAGCGGCACTATCTTGGCTCACTGCAACCTCTGCCTCCTGGGTTGAAGCAATTCTCTTGTCTCAGCCTCCCAAGTAGCTGGGATCACAGGAAACTGCCACCATGCCCAGCTAATTTTTTGTACTTTTAGTAGAGACAGGGTTTCACCATGTGGACCAGGCTGGTCTTGAACTCCTGCCCTCAGGTGATCCATCTGCTTTGGCCTCCCAAAGTGATGGGATTACAGGTGTGAGCCGCTACAGCCAGAACTTACAGTTTCCCAGGATGGTCTCTGAATGCCATGAAACTTTTATTTGTTGTTAAAAAATTTTTTTTGACACAGGGTCTCGCTCTGTTGCTCAGGCTAAAGTGCTGTGGCACAATCATAGCTCACTGTAGCCTCTAACTCCTGGGCTCAAGCAATCCTCCTGCCTCAGTCTCCGAAGTAGTTGGAACACAGGTGCCAGCCACCACACCTGGCTAATTTGTTTATTTTTTATTTTTTTAAATATAGATGGGGTCTTGCTCTGTTGCCCACACTGGTTTTGAACTCCTGGCAAGCAATCTTCCTCCCTTGGCCAACCAAAGTGCTGGAATTACAAGCACAAACCACTGTGCACAGCCGAGATTTTTTTGACTTAGTCTTTTTGTACATATGATATTTTATTCATAGAATCCATAAATGGTAGAGAAATTTCTGAGTTGAAGGAAATATATATGATACAAAACTTGATATATAGACTAGAGTTTCATAGCTCAACTGGAGGGACTAGTTTTAGGTAATCCATGGACTCCCTGAAATTGGGGACACCATTGGAAATATGTGTGAGCTCATGGACAGTTTCCTTTGATTTTCAGTCCTCAGAATGTCTCTTGGACTCAAAATGCCTTAGGGCAGAGGATGCATGTACCCCTAGTACAGAATCTCGGACAGTGAATGTCAGGAAACATTCAGCAGAAAAGCTTTGCCAAATGGAGTGCTTTGATGTAACTTTTTCATCAAGTCAGTGTACCTGGGATCTCTTGTACATGTTAGTCTCACTCTTGTAAGGTTTCATCGTTTCTGCTTTCCCTACTTTTCTTTGCCACCCTGCTCCCTCTCCCACCAGACAGGACTCTGAAATGCGCATGTCCAGATGAGACCCCAGCATGATTCAGCCTTTGATTTGAGAGGATACAGCCTCTGCTGGGACAGGAAACAAGGGTTGCGGAGTCCCTGAAGATGCTTTAGGACAATGGTCTGAGGTTGGGACGGTGGCAGGAGATTCACTTCGGGTCTCCAGGACAGGAGCTCAGGCTGGCAGTTACATGTGTTTTTCTTCAAACTGGTTGCCAGGTTGGAATGACCGATGACATCAGAGAGTCCAGCCTTCCTGATTGGAGGGACTGAACTCTGTGGGCACTTTGAAACTCAGGTGGACAACAGTATCTTCTCAGAGCTGTTCTCCAATCCTGACTTCTTCCCAGCCTTGAGAATAGATAACACATTCTTCTGGGTCCTAGTGGAGAGTGGAAGAAGGCTTTGGCCACAACAGGAACTAGCTTCCCTGGGAGGGAACAGAGTTTGGGGGAGATCGTGGCCAGCCATCAATGGCAACCCCAGGTTGAGGAGTAGAGCCCCCAGCCTAGCACCTCGGGGTACTCCCTCCTGGAGGTGGTGGATGATGAAGTTCTGGGACTGTCAGGTGAGGGGACTAGAGGAAGAAGAGATGAGAGAGGATTGACTAACAACAGGGGTAGGGGGTGGGTGGCTCATGCCTGTAATCCCAGCACTGGGAGGCTGAGGTGGTCGGATCACCTGAGGTCAGGAGTTTGAGATAGTCTGCCCAACATGGTGAAACCCCATCTCTACTAAAAAAACAAAAATTAGCTGGGTGGTAGTGGTATGTGCCTATAACCCCAGCTACTTGGGATACTGAGGCAGGAAAATTGCTTAAGCCTGAGAGGCGAAGGTTGCAGTGAGCCGAGATCCTGCCACTGCACTGCAGTCTGGGTGAGACAGTGAGACCCTCTCTCAAAAAAAAAAAAAAAAAAAAAAAAAAAAGATAAAGCAAGGGCCCAGAAGTCAGGAAGGAGCACTTGAGGAGGGTATATGAGAAGAAAGGAGGGACTCGGCCAGGCGCAGTGGCTCACACTTATAATCCCAACACTTTGGGAGGCCGAGGCAGATCACGTGAGGCCAGGAGTTTGAGACCAGCCTGGCCAACACGGTGAAACCCCATCTCTACTAAAAATACAAGAATGAGCTGGGCATTATGGCAGGCACCTATAATCCTACGACATGGGAGGCTGAGGCAGAAGAATCACTAGAACCCGGGAGATGGAGGTTGGGATGCAGTGATACGAGACCATACCACTACATTCCAGCCTAGGCAACAAAGCAAGATTCTGTCTTAAAAAAGATAAAAAGGGGGAATGCAGAGAGCCAGGGACCAGAAAAAGAAATGAGACCAACCCAGTCATCAGGAAGGAGCACTGAGGGAGTGTGTGGGGGAAGCAAGGAGGGACTCAGGCCAGGTGCAGTGGCTCACACCTCCAACCCCAGGTCTTTGGGAGGCCAAGGCATGAGGGTCACCTGAGGGCTAGGAGTATGAGACCAGCCTGGCCAACGTGGTGAAACCTTGTCTCTAAAGTACAACAATGAGCTGGGTGTTATGGTGGGCACCTGTAATCCCAGCTACTTGGGAGGTTGAGGCAGGAGAATCACTAGAACTTGGGAGGTGGAGGTTGCAGTGATAGGAGATTGCACCACTACACTCCAGCCTGGGCAACAAAGTGAAAAAAAAAAAAATGAGACTCAGAAAGCCGGGACCAGAAAAGGAAATGATGCATTCTGTGGACAGAGAGATGGAAGAATGGGGAGGAGAAGGAGAGGCACATGGCGGTTTACAAAGGAGAAAGACGGAAAGATGGCTTGCAGAAGCCAACAGTCTGCGGGGCTGGGGAGGATGGAGAGTGGTTTGGGGTTTGGTTTCAGGGTTTAAGGTGATCAGTTGCAGAAGCATTACACGGTGGCCTGTTCTTTTTTACTCAACCCCTTGGGTAGATCGCAACCCCCCACTTAGGTTTCTGTACTGGAAATGGAAGAGGGACTGGTCGGACGAATCAGAGGAGGAGCCAGAGAAGGTGCTCGTCCCTGATGCTGAGGAGACCTGCGTGGTGGAGACCCTGTGTGGTCTCAAGGTGAAGCTGAAGCGACGGCTAGTGTCGCCCATGCTCCCTGAGCACCACGAGGTCTTCAACAGGCTGCTTGGTAGGAGGACACCCCAGAGAGCACCTCCAATCCTGTTCTTTTCAAAAAGAGGAAAGTTCCCATAACCATACTTTTCCCATGAGAAGAATGTGCCCCCCTAGTGGGTGAGCTCTCCATGCAGGAGGACTCAGAAGTGATCACTCCTGAGGGATGCTTAGGAGGCCATAGAGGATTCAGCTAGATTTGATGAAGGTCTGATCGGGATAAGAAAGCTTGGTTTCAGGCCAGGCGCCGTGGCTTATGCCCGAGATCCCAGCACTTTAGGAGGCTGAGGCAAGAGGATTGCTTGAACTCAGGACTTTGAGGCTGCAGTGAGCTATGATTGTACCACCGCACTCCAGCCTGGATGACAGAGCAAAACCCTGTCTCAGAAGAAAAACCAAGGCCAGGCATAGTAGATCATGCCTATAATCTGAGCACTTTGGGAGGCCGAGGTGGGTGAATCACCTGAGGTCAGAAGTTTGAGACCAGCCTGACCAACATGGTGAAACCCTGTCTCTACTAAAAATGCAAAAAATACTGGGAGTGGCTGTGCATGCCTGTAATCCCCACTACTCAGGAGGCTGAGACAGGAGAATTGCTTGAACTTGGGAGGTGGAGGTTGCAGGTGAGCTGAGATCATGCCATTGCATTCCAGCCTGGGCAACAGAGTGAGACTCCATCTCCAATCAATCAATCAATTGAAATAAAAACAAAATCAAAGAAAGAGGTTTCAGCTGTGCCCTCTGAAACTTACTGTTTCTTGCTGACTTTGTTTTTTTTTTTTTGAGACAAAGTTTTTTCCTGTTGTCCAGGCTGGAGTGCAATGGCACAATCTCGGCTCACTGCAGCCTCCTCCACCTCCTGAGTTCAAGCGATTCTCCTGCCCCAGCCTCCCGAATAGCTGGGATTGAAGCCACATACCACCACACCCTGCTAATTTTTTGTATCTTTAGTAGAGATGGGGTTTCACCATGTTGGCCAGGCTAGTCCCAAACTCCTGACCTTGTAATTTACCCATCTCGGCCTCCCAAAGTGCTGGGATTACTGTCGTAAGTCAATGTGGCCTGCCTCTGCTGACTTTTCTAAACTTAACTGTCTCCATCCCTAGAGGGAGATACCAAAGCCATGGTCACACCCTGATGTGACCGTCTCATGAGGAAATGACTGGAATTACTTTATGACTCTGCAGTTGTCCCTGTGTGTCTGCAGGGAGGGCATCCTGGCTTCTTCCCAGCTCTCCATCCCATAGATTCCCACACCCAGGGCCTCCTTCAGCCACTTCTCAGGGTAGCCTCAGAGCAGGAGCTCTCCCTTGCCCAGTGAAAGTCATTCTTTCCTGTCCCATCCACCTCACCCAAGCCACCATCCTGAGGCTTTCCCCAGGGAGGCGCACTTCTCCTCGCTGTCCTGTTGCTCCCAGGGAAACTGTTCTGCTTCTCACACTAGCATGCTCTCTAATCACAGAGGATCCTGTCGTTAAAAGATTCCTGGCCTGGGACAAAGATCTGAGGGTGTCGGACAAGGTAAGGTTGTTCTCCAGGTAACTGTGTTTCTGTTCCAACACATAGCCAGGGAGAGGGCGCAGCCTCCACACCCACAGTTCCCCTCTCTCTCCCTTCACCATCACCCACCTGATGCTCCACCTCCACAGTGTTTTTTTTTTCCTGAGATAGAGTCTTGCTCTGTTGCCCAGGCTGGAAAGCTGGAGGGCAGTGTCATGAAATTGACTCACTGCAGCCTCCACCTCCAGGGTTGAAATGATTCTCTGTCTCAGCCTCCAAAGTAGCTGGGATTACAGGTGTGCACCGCCACACCTGGCTAATTTTTGTGTTTTTAGTAGAGAGAGGGTTTTCCTCTGCTGGCCAGGCTGGTCTTGAACAACTGACCTCAGGTGATCTGCCCGCCTTACCCTCCCAAAGTGCTGGGATTACAGATGTGAGCCACTGTGCCCGGCCACCTCCCAAGGTCTTCAGTTTTGGTGCCCACCATTTTTTTTTTGAGACAGAATCTTGCTTTGCTCCCCAGAATAGAGTGCAGTGGCATGATCATAGCTCACGGCAGCCTTTAATTTCCTGGGCTCAAGCAATCCTCCTGCCTCCGCCTCCTGAATAGCTGAGACTACAGGCACAGGTCACCTTGCTCCACTAATTTCTGTAATTTTTGTAGAAAGAGGGGCCTGCTGTGTTGCCCAGGTTGTTCTTGAACTGTTGGGCTCACTTGATCCTCCTGTCTCCGCCTGTCAAAGTACTGGGGTCACAGGCTTGAGCCAATACTCCTGGCTATTCCTGGTCTTTTGATGATTTATCAGCATTTCCGTTGGATCTCTGCTGGTCTCTTGCAGAGTGACTGAGCGGCCCCTCCCTCTCCTACAGGTCCTTTGAGATCTGAGCCCTGGGCTGCAGTCTGGCCGCAGCCCTGAAGCTCCTGGCCTCTCTACTCCTAGCACTTTGGGAAAGTTCTCTGCCTGGCACAGAAAAGACCCTCCTGATGCCAGCCAATGTAGACACGCTCCCTGCAAAGATCCCATTGGAGCTCACCATCCTGGGCACATCACCCACATCCCTTCCTCTGGCTCCTCAGACTTGCATCCCACCATCAAATACCCCTCTACCCCACAGATTCCGAATAAGCACAGTCACCCCAACACTGAGGTCCCTCTGATAGACAACCCCTCCCCAGCCCCCCATTGCCCTATCTCCAGGATCTTCCTCTTCCAAGATGTGACCTCTCTCTCTGTGTTCCTTTCAGTACCTGCTAGCTATGGTCATAGCATATGTTAGCCGTGCCAGCCTCTTCTCCTGGCAGTACCAACATATTCATTTCTTCCTGGCCCTGTGAGTGGCTTGCTTCCTCCTATTCATCAATGTCCAACACCTTGGGACAGCGCGGGGGGGGAGTGGGATTCCAATCTTTCATTTATTATTTCACCTATTTGTCCTCCTTACTCTGTATTGAAAAGATAGCATTATGCCATGGTGTTTTTAGACTGTTTTATCTAAAAACAAACTCAGGCCAGGTGCAGACTCACGCCTATAATTCCAGCACTTTGGGAGGCTGAGGTGGGCAGATCTCAGCCTGAGGTCAGGAGATCGAGACCAGCCTGGCCAACATGTCGAAACCCTGTCTCTACTACAAAAGTACAAAAATTAGCCACGCACAGTGATGTGCACCTGTAATCCCAGCTGCTCCGGACGCTGAGGCAAGACTTGGTTTATGTCTTGTGCAGCTAACCGCGTTGAGGACCCAGCATGAGACTTAACCATTAGGAAGTGGGATTACAGATCAGGCTTCTGGACTGGTGGTTTGTGATGTTGTCATATGAGAAACACAGCTAGCATGGTTACAAGTTTAGATCTTAAGTGACACAAAAGGCCCCAGGTGCAATGAAGTCCAAAGCCACATTCTCTGAGGGTGCTCTACTCTCTGGGCAGACCCACCCAAAGTCATGGCTATGAAGCAGATCACTGGGGCTGGCCTTGGGTGTATTAATGTGGGAAGTGAATAACCTACCTGTCTAGAAAACTGCCTCCTTGAAGTGTGACATCCTCGCTCTCACTTCCAGAACACTGGGCCCAGGGGAGATGCAGATTTTCAGCAGGAAGCTTATTCCAATGCTAATGGAAGACACTGGGAAGGAAGAGAGGAACCATTTGTGCAGATCATCTGGAAGAACCTAGAAGAACCTGGACTGTTCTAGAAGGAGCTGAATAGAGTGATCATGCTGTCCTCCTAGGAGTGGTAGGTGGGAGGTACTTCTGGGCGTCCATGTAGGACAGTGAGAAACCAGCGGTGTTTCTTGTTCCACCCCTTCCTGCGGCACTACCTCCCTTTTTAGATTGCTGTATTCAACCTCTCTGGGGTGGAACTTGGAGGTCCTGCTTCCTATGGACTTGGTTGCCATAGTCCGGGAGCATTTGAAGGCACAGTGCAGGTGCTCAGATTGGCACAGAATTATTTGTAAAATATGAGTGCCACAGGATTGTAACAGATAGCTTCATGCGTACTATGCATTTTGTTGGTTTGTTTGGAAAATGTTGGCCATTGAATTATGAGTACATTTATTTCAGATAGTTTGGAAAGTGTTATACTTTTGAAGACATGCTGTTCCTGTAGAGTTTTTTGATGAGAGTTATAGCTGTTACATATACATAAGTATAATTTTCTTTCCATTTTTAATAAATAATTTTGTTTATCCTAAATCTTTTATTATCTATTATTAGATGTGCTCCTTAAGTAAACACTCTTATCTATGATGCTTAGATAATAATCTAGTATATTTATATCTGTTAGGTAGTTCTCATAAATTCTTGTACTAGAAATTTTTATTTGCTGTTTCATGTTTGTTACTGAATTGTGAGAATCTAGTTGTGATTTTTAACATATCTTAGGTCTATATTAATAGGTCTAATATATACTATACATTTTATTGGTTTATTTTGAAAAGGTGGGCATAGAATTCTTACTATATTTATTTTAAATCATTTGGAAATCCTGGTATTTTGAAAAGATATTGTTCCTATAAAGTTGCATGTTGGGTATTATAGCTGTTATATACACATAAATATAATTTTGTTTTCTTTTTTAAGAGAGGATTCTTTTTATCCTAAGTCTTTTATCTTTAAATCTTTGTATATATTATTACATGTGGTGCTGAAGGAATGACACTTTTTTTCTATGATACTTAACATATCTATTACCTTTATAGCTACGTGGTAGTTCCCCTAAATTCCTGTAAAAATAAATTTTCATTTGATGTTAAGTGTATGTTTTTGAAATGTGAGAATTCAGATGTGATTTTTTACCTCATATTGACATGTTTATATGTTACTTTAAAGAGGATGTATGTGACAAGCCCTGAGGAGAGATGTGAGGACTCTGGACACTGGGTTCAGAATTGTACTGCTTCCTCACTTGCTCAGTCAGCTATGCTCTATGCTCGCATCCTACACATACGCTGAGCCTGATGCAAAAACTAACACTGTGAAAAAAAAAAAAACATGAATACATTAATGTAATTTTGACATTACACTGACATAGTTCACGTTTTACCAAATGTGTGTCAGCTAATTCACATTTGAGAGTCTCATATTGTAGCAGAACAGACTTTAAGAGCTAAGAGATTTGTCTCACAGTGTCTTTTAATAAATAGTTAATTCCTTCCTTAAAAAAAAAAAAAGAGGATGCGTGTTTTAAAGGAGGACATGCACTGTGTGTTTTCAAGAGAACAGTGCAGTGCATGTCTTGGGGACATGTAATAAAGATGAAGTTTTTTCACCTTTACAGAGTATGATCATATTGCTCTGGATTGCTTATTTGCTATCAAGTGACTTTTTTCCTTAATGGGGTTGTGGTTATTTGAACATATTTATTAGCTCTGGAAGATAATCCTGTATTATTTTTCATGTAGAAAAAAACATAAAGCTGGGTGCAATGCTCACACCTATAATCCCAGCACTTTTAAAGTCATGGCAGGAGGATCACTTGACACCAGGAGTTTGAGACCAGCCAGGATAACATAGCATCTACATCTATTTTTTAAAAATATTTTTAAAAAGAAAAAAAAATAGAGGCCAATCCCATGCTAGAGGTTTTTGTTTGTTTGTTTTGGTTTTTTTTGAGACGGAGTCTCGCTCTGTTGTTCAGGCTCGAGTGCAGTAGTGCAATCTTGGCTTACTGCAACCTCCACCACCTGTGTTCTAACCATTCTTCTGCCACAGCGTCCCAAGAAGCTGGGACTACAGGTGTGTGCCACCACGCTGAGGTAATGTTTGTATTTTTAGTAGAGACAGGGTTACACCATATTAGCCAGGCTGATCTCAAACTCCTGACCTCAAGTGATCCACCCACACTGGCCTTTCAAATTGTTGGGATTACAGGCATAAACTACCATGCCCAGCCCCTAAGCTAGAGTTTTAAAGCAGGAAATGAGGGAAAGATATTGAGAGAATAAAACCAGGTGGTAAAAAAACTTTAGGTTTTTATTTTTTCGTTTCCAAAGTGGCTCACACCTGTGATTCCAGCAGGAGTTCCAGACCAGCCTGGCCAACATGGTGAAACCCCATCTCTATTAAAAACAGAAAAATTAGTGGGGGATGGTGGTGCCCGCCTGTAGTCCTAGCCATTCGGGAGGCTGAGGCAGGAAAATCACTTGATCCTGGAAATTGGAGGTAGCAGTCGAGCAGAGATTGTGCCACTGCACTTCAGCCTGGGTGTCAGAGCGAGACTCTGTCTTCCAAAAAAAAAAAGAAGGAAAGAAAGTTCCTGCAACATTTGAGCCATTAAAGACAGGCACTATGCCATGCAATTCTTTTTTGTTTTATTTTTTATTTTTGGAGTTGGGGTCTTGCTCTGTCACCCAGGCTGGGATGCAGTGGTGTGGTCATAGCTCACTGTAGCCTCAGACTCAAGCTCAAGTGACCCTCTTACCTTGCCTCCCAAAGTGCTGGGATTACAAGCAGGAGCCATGACAGCTGGCCTGTGTGACACAATTCTGATGTCAACTCCCTGTTGTTAATGTCAAATGCCACAGGTTAAGGCCACAAGCCCCCATTAGGCTGCCCACACTTTAGATGCAAGCTGCAAGTTTGGGTGTCCTTAGACCACATGTACTTCTCACCAACTGGCTACAAATTCAAAGGTTCTCACAGTGTCCTCAGGTTTGATAATTTCTCTGTAACAACTCAAAGAATTCAGAAAAGCAAGATACTTTTTTTTTGAGATGAAGTCTCACTCTGTTAAGCAAAAGTGCAATGGCACAATCTCAGTTTACTGCAACCTCTGACTCCCAGGTTCAAGCGATTCTATTGCCTCAGTCTCCCGAGTAGCTGGGATTACAGGTGGACGCCATCATACCTGGCTAATTTTTGTATTTTTGGTAGAGAGGGTTTCACTGGGTTGGCCAGGTTGGTCTCGAACTTCCAAACACAGGTGATCTGCCTGCCTCAACTTTCCAAAGTGCTGGGATTACAGGCATGAGCTACTGTGCCCGGCCAAGCACATTTTCATTACAGTTTTATGTAAGAAAAACTGACAAAAGTTGACACCAGCCAAAAGCAGAGACACATAGTATAAACTCCGAGAGGGTCCTGAAGATGACATTTCTGCGTCCTCAGGATGCATCATCGTCTCAGCACACTGATGTGTATCACCAACCAGGGAAGGTCACCCTGGCTTCTATGTCCAGGGGTTTTATTACATCAGGCGGTTTGATGCAATCATTGGCCAGGCAGTTGAGTCCATCTCCAGCCCCCCAGTTCCTTTCTGGAGGTCGGGCTGACATCATGTGGCTCAAAGTCGCAACCTTCAAATCACATGGTTGGTCTTTCTGGTGTGGTTGGCCCCCTGGCCAAGTCATCTGGTTAGCATGCACTCAGGTGTGACCCTGGGGCAGCCACCATGAGTAACAGACACACCTATCATTCAAGAAATTCCATGGATTTAGAGGCTGGCTACCTCCAGGAATCGGAGACCAGACCAGAACCAACAGGGAAAAGAAGACCAGGGAAGTGTCAGAACAGCAAAGAAATAAATTCCTTTTTATTTGTGTATATATAATGTATATAAAATATACATTTAATGAATCAATGTATTAAATATGTAGATTTATAAATAGAAATATGTCATTTTCATATAACATATATAAACATCATACATATTTAGAGAAATATATGTTTCTCCCTTTATTTATGAGTTGAGTTGGAGTTTCACTCTGTCACCCAGGCTGGAATACAGTGGCATGATCTCAGCTCACTGCAACCCAGCAGAACAGGATTGGAGCACGGGGTTGGGGGAGTGGGGCACGGAGGGGACCCAGGAGGACCGCGGGGGAGGAGGCGGGAGGAGCGGGAAGTGCCCCTGCCGAGCCCCCTCCCTAGGCGAAGGCTGAACCCGGGCAGTGTCCTTTTTTATTTTATGTTTATTTTTAATTTTTAAAACATTTTTTGAGACTGGGCTTGGCCATGTTGCCCAGGCTGGAGCGCAGTGGTGCAATCCTAACTTCCGAGCTCAAGCGATCCTCCCGCCGCAGCCTTGCAAGTTAGCTGGGGCCTCCACGCCTGGTTAATTTAAAAAAAAAAAAATTTTTTTTTAGATATAGGGTCTCACTTCTTTGCCCAGGCTGGTCTTGAACTCCTGGCCTCAAGCCATCATTTTATGTTGACCTTCCAAAGCACTGATTACAGGCATGAGCCACCCAGACACTCCTCCCCCTAGTCAGGCCAGAGCGGCTTGCGCGGCACAGAGCTGGACCCGGGGATGGGGAGGAGGGGACAGTTTAGACATCCTGAGGTCATTCTGCCAAGGCAGGAATGTACCTTGGCCCCAGACCTGTTTGGGGGCCTAGGAGCTAAGCTCTGCCCTTCCCTCCACAGTCTGGACCCACCCTGGACATGCAGGTTCTCTCCAGCCTCAAGAACATCTGCCAGGACTGGCAGCTGTGGCATTTTGTCAGCTGGGTGTGGTACAAACGGGAAGTGACCCTGCCGGAGTGGTGGACCCAGGACCTGCACACAAGAGTGGTGCTGAGGATTGGTAGTGCCCACTCCAATGCCATTGTGGTGAGTGCAGCCAGGAACAGGTAGGGCAGGTGGGTGGGCGTGGCTGCTGAACAGCATGGGAGTCCCAGGTGCCCCCCACAGCCTGGTGCCTGGGATGGGATGGTGGGGGGCCCTTCCTTGCTCTGCCCTGGAGGCTGTGCCCTGTGTACGGGGATAGGTGGCCTACCCTACCCCATTGGGATGCCATTCTTCCCATCTGGCTGGCAGGCCTCAGCTCTATGCTGCAGGTTATGAGGGAGTGCCTGATAGCAGGGCCCCTCCTCACATGCTGACCTGCCACCCCCTCCCCATATCTCCAGTGTCTGCAGTGGGTGAACGTGGTCGATGCGCTAGAGCATGGGGGTTACCTCCCCTTCAAGGCCAACATCAGCAGCCTGGTCCAGGTGGGGCCCCTGCCCTCCCGCCTCCCCATCACTATTGCCATCAACAACACAC